GAACGGTGGCTTCCCAGGGCTGGAGGGAGTTTTAGTTTTGCAAAATTAAAAGCCCTAGTGTTGGCCATGGTCGTCCAACACTATTAATGCACTTCATACAACTGAACTGTACACTTAGAGTTGGTTACCTTGGTAGATTCTAAGTTATGTAAATTTCAGCACAATTAGAAATGTTTTTAATAGAAAGAGTTCAGAGTTCTGAGCACAGACCCTGAGGAGCTCAGCCTTCCCCTCCTTCACGCTTGCGCACATACACAGAGACCACTGCTTGGGCCTGTCATTCGGAGCCCACACGTGGCTGTGAATCCACACACCCACTTCTGCGCTGCAGAGCTTAGCTGGACTGTCCACATCTTCATCCCTGAAGGAGAGAAAGGGCAGCTCTTCGCTCTGTTTGACTGGTGGAAAAACCAAAAGTCATGGAGGTTAAATAATTTGCTCAAGGTTCATGGGGTCTACCCCTCATTAAAAGTTCCTAGTGGCACTGTCCCCAGATTCATAGTCCCTTAAAGGATTGAATAAACAGGGGGCAAGACCAGTGTTTGTGAAGAGATTGGAATGTCATGCCAGGAAGTGATTTTCCAAAATGAGGCCGAAAACCAGCAGCACGTGGACAAAACAGACTTTGCATCTGCTCATTATCAAATGGTGTTCCAGGAGCCCCTCCCATGGGCCACACACCCCTTCCCAATACAGCGGGATCATCATTTAAGAACCTACAATCCAATGACTTCCCTGTGCCCACTTAAACCTCCTGAGACATGAAGAATAAAGACCAAATTCCTTGCCATCATGAGCCAGAAGCACAGCTGGATACCAGTCTGAGCTTGCCTGCCCATCACTCTCACTCAGTTCTGGCCATACCTGCCTCCTTGTATTTTTTGAGCTAAGCATTCCAAGCTCATTCCTACCACAGGACCTTTGCACATGCTCTTCTCCCTCTTAGCTGTAATGCTCCCTCTTCCTACTACAGGGGCTCACTTCATTCAGTCCCTGCCTCACTCAGAGCACCTAGCCTAATACCCCTCCCAGATCACTCACCATCCCTCTCAGATCACTCACCATCCCTTACCTTGCTTTATTTTTCTTCAATATTACCCTCCACTCTCTATAGTTAAGTGGTCTATTTATTCAGTTATCTGTCATCAGTCTAGAATGTAAGCCCCAGGAGAACAGGAACTTGTCTCATTTGCCATGGTGCTTCCAATGCCTGTTCAAAACTGAGAACTTTATTTTGGGGCCAATGGGGAGACTTATGAGGGTTTACGCAGAGGAGTGACAACATCAAAGTTTCATTCTGAGAGTTCCTTCTGGTGGCTGTGTGCAGAAGAGACTGACCGGAGGCAGGATGAATCTCCAGGCGAGAGGCGTGCACCAGCCAGCATAGACGTGTGAGGAATCTTGTAACCTGGAGGTTGACAGTGTCTGCTGCTCATTTTTCCCTCTCTAGAACTGAGTGGAAGCCTCAGTTGTCCCGAGGATAGAACCCTGCACCCGCCGAAGTCTGTCTCCACTTATTCTACAGAGGTTTCATTGTAAATCAGCAGGACCTTGGTCAGACGCTGCATTTTCCCAGTTCTCAAAGAGCAACTATTGCACAAGCAGATCTGAAACTGTGAGGGCGTCTCAGACTCTCCGGCCAAGCAATTCGTCTACTCCTGGGACCACGAGTGCTACGCAGTGTGGGCCCTGGAGCCCTTCCAAGCCAGGCCTGAGGGTTCCCAGGGTGAACGGAACTCTCTGCAAAGACCCCCTCAACCCTGCATCCCACCTGTCTGACCCCCACTTTGGGCCACCCAGCACCGTGCTGATGTTACAGACCATCATGGGGGCATTCAGGGCCGAATAGATGCCTGAGGAGGAGGCGGCATGCCTTGTGCTGGTTGACCAAAAATCAAAAGAATCATGCTGTTGCTGCATTCACATACGTGCATACTCACATACACACATGCATGCACACATGAACACGTATGTGCACAGGTACACACGTAGTTTTTCTTCTAGTTTACCTCACTGGTAGAAGGCGAATGCTCACCAAGGCCTTCTCATTACAGATGAGAATACCAACACCCCAAGAAGTTTGATGACCTTCCACCAAAACCTCAGCCCTGAGAGTGAGCACTGCCTGGGAACGTGCTTCCTCTCTCCAGCTCAGGGCTCTTTTGAGCTTCCTCCACGATTTCTTGGTAACACACACCCTTCTCTCTCTAAAGTCAAACCTGAACTTTCTCCTGCCAGCACTACGCTCCTGCTAACTCCTGAATGAGCAGACGCTGGAGAAGGTCGGCCTTCTCGGGAGAGGAAAGCAGCGTCCTCCTGTGGGCTGCCACCAGCTGGGCCTGCTTTCTACTGGGTCTCCTTGGATGCTGGCTCTTGTGGTGGCAGGGGGATGCTTGACAAGGGTATACTCTCTCTCACACGAAAGAGAGAACTCATGGAGGGCAGAGGCTGTCCTCAATGTCTTCTCAACCAGGTTCCCACCCTCTAATGAGTATTCTATAAAACGTATGTGCAGTTTTTTCCAGGCAACTGGAAAGATGGTGGCCATCAGACTGAGCGAGCGTACCAAAAGCAGCCGACCATCTTTCAAAACAAGAAGAGGGTCCTGTGGGGAGAAACGGGCAAGGAGAAGCTCGCTCAGTACTACGAGAACATCGGTCTGGGTTTCAAGATTCTCAAAGAGACCATCGAGGGCACCTACATAGACAGGAAATACCCCTTCGCTGGTAAAGTCCCCATCCGAGGGTGGGTCTTGCCCGGCGTGGTGACCAAGATGAAGATGCAGAGGACCATTGTCATCTGCCAAGACTCTCTCCACTACATCTGCAAGTACAATCACTTTGAGAAGCACCACAAGAACAAGTCTGCACACCTGTCCCCTGCTTCAGGGATTGGCGACATTGTCACGGTGGGCAAGAGCCAGCCCCTGTGCAGGA